TGTTGGTAGATATGACAGCACTGGTCACCGTCAAGTCTAGCGGTGGGCGTTTAAACGAAAAGCGCTTAAATAAGCGCGCTTAAAATATTAAGCTTGTAAGCACGCTTTTAAGTATAAGCGTTATAAGCTTTTCACTTAAAAAGTGTGAGTAAACTTTTCACTTAAAAAAGTGCAAGTATATTTTTTACTTAAAAAGTGCAAATTCCGCCATCTATGTCTTTGCCAGGAAACTACATACTTCGATCCTTCTAGTCCACTACAGTATCGAAAAATGGGTACGCGGAATTCCTTGGAACTAAATATTTCACAATATCACAGCCATAGAACGCGCGACTGCAGCGTCGCGTCGGCGTGCCATCTTTCGTGAGCCGGTTAATACAGCATGCGAATTATTGTAATGCGACGTAAAAAAAATGCACCTTTTTTTTAATTTGGACGGATAACCAACGCTTTTTTCGTTAAAAGCGTTTAATTAAACGAAGTCGAAAAGCAGTACGCTTGTCATTGTGACGGGGTAAGAGCGCGTGGGTGTTGTACGGTGTGTTTGCATGCTTGCTTGTGTTAATGCGTTTCGTGTATTGGTTTAATGTGCATATAAAATAGTTAAAAATATGTATATACAATCAATGAACTTTTAAGTACGCCTGGATCACGAGTATATTAACTCCAGACAGTCCTCAGCTTGTAAAGTACGAAGGAAAGTTCATTGACTATTATAAAAATGTTTATTATAAAATCTAAATTCAATTGAAAATCTTTCGTTTTACATGCCAATCAATTCATAAGGTTTAAAAAACTTTTTAATAAAAAATTCATTAATAAGAAGAAAAAACGCAATAAAGCACTTAAACACATTAAAAACGACATTTTTTAAACGATATACCTAAACGAACAACACAACGTCGCGCTTTTTACGCATGCTTTTAAACGTTTAAGCCAATAAGCGTATAAACGAAAAAGCTTTTTCAAGCGCGCTTATTTTAAAAAGTACAACGTTTAAATGCTTTTAAGAAATAAGCCGTTTTTCCATCTCTAGTCAAGTCACCGTCTTGTTACATTTTTTTAAGATTTTCCCGTTTTAAGGAAGGCAAAGGGAACAAAGCCCATACAGCCTAATTTTTAGTTATAACCGGAATAGCGTATATTTTAAATATTCCACTAATTATTTAGTTACGCAGACGGTTGTAACACAAAATCACACCAATTTTATTTCATAATATCCACTATAAATTAATTTAAGAATATTAATATAAGATGCCAACCGCACTCGATGAAATCTCGCCAAAAATTCAGTGTTACCAGAAAGACATTTTGCCTTCCCCTCAAAACTTACCCGTAATCCCCCCAAAAGTCTGGTTTCTGACCCCCCCCCCCCCCCCAACATGCAAAATATTTATTAAAAATACAATATTTACCAAATAGTATGTATTTTTGCAACAGCATCCATTACTGGAGCTCTATTTTTGAATCACTCACCTTGCGTCGAACGCTCGAATGGTGGAGGCGAATGATAGAATAATTGTCATATTGGCGTCAGATGTCACGTGTCAAACTTGATTCACATTTGCAGTTTTTCGTTGTATTCTGTTGTTTACTATGTTTTGAAATTAAAACCATTTCTTGAGACTAACGACACACGATTCTATAATACGGAATATAATGCGACTAGAACTCGAAGGTGACTTATGTCGCATTCGACGATACTACAGTTTGTCTATAAAGTCGTGACATTAAATGATGGCGCCTCTAGTATGCATGTAGCAACCCTATACAGTCTGACCAAAATGATTTTGATACTAGCAGTTCATTCAAGTAAAATAGGTAATTAATAAGATGCACTATACAGTCGTATTTTGTTTCTGTTTTATATATAGTAGGTACTTATGCTTATAAAAAGTTTAGCCAAGCATATTTAATTGAATCAGAATAAAATTATTATAGATAAAATAGTACTTTATAGTGTAAAAGTATGTAATGTTGGTTGTTGTCACTTGTTGAGAAAATAATACTAAAAATCATTTTATAGTATACAAAAATTTGAAAATTTGTTTATTTAGAGAAACAATTTGTAAATGTGCAGTTAGTAAAATTAGTGATAGGTATCTTCATTAAACGCATGTGGCTATAGTTGTTTATGTGACCATTTCTTTCTTTGGCCGGCCTTGCCTGTTTTCCCAGGAGTTTCAAACTTTCCATCATTCTTAAAACCTTCGTTGACTATCCGACTCTCTGATTTTCCTGAAAAAAAAAGTAAAAAAATATGTAACGGAATAGAAACAATAACTTATTGACATGAAGCAATTAATTCAAAATTGGTAGAAAACCATAATAACGTATCAAAATAAATGGTCGTACTACAATATTACCTATTTACAATTCAAACACCTTCAGTTAACGGGAATAAATACATACAAGAACAAGAGAGATGTGCTAGAGGTTTTTAAAGAGTACAAAGAAGAATCTAAAAACTATACAGGATATAAAATAAAATTTCTTCAAACAGATAATGGTACCGAATATGTAAATACTAATTTTAATTCTTACCTTAAAAGCCATGGTATATCACGCAGTTTGTCATGTCCTTATACTCCAAACCAAAATGGCATACCTGAAAGAAAGAATCGAACTCTAATAGAAAAAGCGCGATGCATGATGGTATAATCGAATGCACCTATGAGTTTAGGGCGGAAGCTATTTTTACCGCAAATTATCTTTCGAATAGAAGTATTAACAAGAGCTTAAATAATAATACGCCATTCAAGCTATGGGTTGGACGTGAACCCTGTGTCAACCACATATAAGTTTGGTTCAAAAACATTTGTTCTTAAAAAAGGACCAAAAGGACAAAAATGTTTACAAAACTACTGTTCAAGCCTCGTTTGGAAACTTTGTGTAATCGCCTAGGGCTCATCAAAGTAGTGGGGGTGTGAAGGCATAAAGCCTTATTACATGGTGAGCTAGCAACGGGTTGTTGATAGAGTTATGTCAGTATGCAATATTATTCAATGTAAAATATAAAACAAACAATTTCTTTATTCTCTGAATATATGTATATATATATTTATATATACTGAAGTCTGTTATCTTTCAATGATATTACTTTTATAGTAAAGAAATACTTTTTTCTTATAGTCTCATTTTTAATACAATTTATTATATTATATTCTAAAACGCGTATTGCGTCGTAATGATTGTTACAGAAAGTATAGCATAAAATGTACATAAATTAAACAACAATCACATATACCTACAGAACTTTTTTAGATACCCAATCATTCCATGAGTTGATTCCCGTTGTAAAAAATAATTATTAGCTTTAAATTGTTCGAGTGGTTTTGTATTATTTTCTTGTAAAATATCCAATAAAATAAAAAAAAAACTTTTTTACAGTGAGGAGTTTCTTTATTGTTGTAATAAAGTCAATCTTATATTTATATACATTTAAATAATCAATTATTATAAAACAGATGTCTGAAATTTCTCCCCCTATTAATCCCCCCAAAAATATTCTGAACCTGCGTGCACTGTGGCCGTACCCTAGGGCCACAGTGCACGCAGGTTCAGAATCAGATTCAGACTCAGAAAACAGGCTCGTGAGATGTCAGCTTGAGGAAAGCAGGTGATGGCTACAGTAGAAACAGATAATACAAGACGCGGTCTCCCCCAAAATTTGGGGGGTTATTAAAGCGATGGGATTATTGGGTAAAAATATTTTTGGGGGGATTAATAGGGGAAGAAATTTCAGTACGGCCACAGTGCACGCAGGTTCAGAATCAGATTCAGACTCAGAAAACCAGCGCGAAAAATAAACAGTGTAGTTGAAGTTGGGTGGCCATAGTTGCAGCAGGCAACTGGTTGCCCGCGCAGGGTTCGGTTTGGAGTCAGAGACTTTACCGGAATGTTTAGGTCATTCTGGTTTCAGATTCTGAATTCACCAGCACCGCTCCGACTGCAGGCAGGGTTGCCAACCCTACTATAAAATATACTATCCTACTATATTAGGTGATCGAATACAATATTTCCAAAAAATGTATATAGTAGGCGAAACTACTATATTTTGCTTAAAACATATTTTTGACAGTAAAAGCTTTCTTAAAAATTATTAGAAATTGTTGTTATAATATTAGCAAAGCCTAATAAAATTAAATTTGACCACAGTCTATCCTTGTCATGCTCTGTACAAAATGAGAAAGAGAGACTGTTGATTGACTGTCGATTGCAACTTTTTACAGATTAAAAGTTTATGAAGTAGTTTTATTTTTATGTAAAAAATATAATTAAAAAACCCCCGAAACTAAATTTCTTTTCACCCCCATCGCTTTTTAAAACCCCCCAAATCTGGGGGGAACTCCACCCAATCTGGCATCAGTGCTAGCGTCCGCGTCTTGTATTATCTGCCTCCACTGTGGCCATCATCTGCTTTCCTTCCTTGTTTTTCCCCTGAAAGTACAGACTAAGGGTGCGGCCAGAGTGCACTCAGATTCAGATTCAGATTCAGATTCCGAAAACAAGCGCGAGAAATAAAGGGTGCGGCCAGAGTGCACTCAGATTCAAGCGCACACAAAGCGCGAGAAAAAGCAGGAAACCTGCTTAGACTACACTGTTTGTTTCTCGCGCTTGTTTTCAGAATCTGAATCTGAATCAGAATCAGGAGTGCACTCTGGCCGTACCCTTCGACTACACTGTTTATTTCTCGCGCTTGTTTTCGGAATCTGAATCTGAGTGCACTCTGGCCGCACCCAAACAGTGTAGTCGAAGGGTACGGCCAGAGTGCACTCCTGATTCAGATTCAGATTCAGACTCAGAAAACAAAGCGCGAGAAAAAGCAGGCAACCTGCTTAGACTACACTGTTTATTTCTCGCGCTTGTTTTCAGAATCTGAATCTGAGTGCACTCTGACCGCACCCTAAGAGTTCGGCGACACCGTACCCTAGTCTGTACTTTCATAGATTACCTAAGTCTGTGTAGTTGTGATCTTTTTTACAATCTCTCTAATCTGTGCTTTATTTAGTGGGAAAAATACAAAAATGGAATTGATCCGTTTTTAGCTAATTTATTCTTGCATTAAATAAAAAAGACTAAAAATCGTAACCTTTAATTTTATTTATGTATTCTATAAGCATTATCAACGCTATGGAAGTTTTCTTCAGCATAAACGATTTTTTGTTTGATTATTATTTCTTAATAGGAGGTTTATTTTTAAGTTATCTGGTTTACAAAATATTCCATTCCCTTTTCAGCGATAATATTTATAGTCAAACAAATTTTACATCTCGAGGACATTCATGGAGGAGTATTCAATGTCACAAAGCCATACCGTACAATATTCATGTATGTTGATTTCTATGGAAAAAATATATTATTTTTCTTTTGAAACCATCATGTTCGTATAAATTGCATATTGCGATTCTTCAGTATTTTTTTAGTCTTAACACTCCTCTTTATCTTTTAGTGTTCAGTGTGTGGTATACTTATGTTACCTTTGGTTGGATTATTTTGTGAGTGCTGTGCTGCAAGTGCCTGCAAGAGATGTTGCCGAATTGTGGATAAAAAGCTTCGATGTAAAACCATTACATGGCCAAGAGATAAAATATTTCAACATCATTGGGTGAATGGTACAGATAATTATACGTTATTAATTGCTTATTCATGATAGATTTTTGGTAAACACAAGCTGTTAAAATATTACACTGAGTTTAAGTCTGGTTTTTTGGATATTGTCACAGCTTTCTTTTTTAGTTGGTACAATAAGAACTGACAGTTCAGATAATGATGATGGACTAAAAAAATTCTTCTGTAGCTGGTGTCAAAGAACAAAACTGTGTACATATAGTGCCCTTGAACCAGAGGTATTTTTTTTTCTAAAACATATTTTATTGTTGTTATTATTTGATTGTGATAGATTACCATAATTGAACTGTTAATATCCTTTTCAGGAGTGTAATTTTCTAAAGTACAGAGATATTATAATTCCACCATACTGTACACAAGTAGAAAAAGGTATTATTGCCAAAGTCAAACCTTTGGCTGAGGATAATTGGATACCTCTCATTATATTCGGTAATTATTTTTATTATGTTTCAATTAACCCTTAGTATGGTGCAAAAATTGTATATAATGAGTGTTTGTTTAATCAGTTATTGGGTCAATCAATATTTATATTCACAGTCTTAATATATTTATTTATTAAATCAAAACATTACATTATAATATACAAGCTGTATCTAAAAACTCTTAAACATGGGTTTATTTGTCTACAGCGATTTGCTCCAACAAATATTTCTTAAGTTTTTTTACATTTATTTTTAATATACAATTCTGGAATACTTGAGGGCATTTCATTAAGAAAGGAGAACGGGCAAATTGGTCTGCCTACTCAACACCAACAAGCCATGTATCAATGAAAAGGACATTTCTTAAACTTTATTTTTTTGTATGACGGCAAATGTGTAGCTCATGGGGTTTTTCCTCTTTTGATGGGAACAGACTTTACAACTAATGGTCTATAGTTCGACAGAGATTGGCGGGGGAGAGGGTAGGGAGTGGGGTTGGTTTGAATTACAAAATAGCCAAATACGCCACGTGCTATGTTTACAAGAATGTCAGCAAATCTTCCTGATTTTAAAGACATTCAGTGATTAGAAGAACATCTGATCCTAATCGCCCTAGTAACTTATCATACTAAGATAGCAAGTTCTTACTGTGCCGAACATTTCAATGATGCTCTAAATATAATTGAATTATACCAAGACAATGAACTCAATGATATCACATTGAAGTGGAAGAAAGAAGTTTCTTACTGAGAGGACAAATACAATCACGTCATTTAAGAGCCAAGCAATACTGCACATACGTGCTTATAAACAGAAGGATTGAAGGAAGAGATACTTTCAGGGACTATTATCAACCAATTTATTTCAGTCACTTGATGGGTTCTCGTTTCAGAAAATCGTAAACTAATCCATGTATTCAATGGCTTTAAGATAAATTAAAAAAATTATTTTGAATGGTGGTTAACTAAGGGCAGTGATTAAATAGAGCTTATCGACCCCTTGATATTTCTATTCCACTCATAAAAAACTTTCGTTTGACATAAATTTTCTTGATGTATTTCATAAACTACAATTACACGTAAAATAAAAATCGGAGGTGACGTCATAATTTTGCATGCGGGTAAAATCAAGCAACTTCAGTAGTGTCGACCTGTAGACCTATGGCTTCATTGTTCATACCCCAAAATTGATTCATGTATCTGATCCATAAGACTTTTATACAACTGGTTCTCCGACTATAATGAGTACCCGGCCTATGAGGCGTGACGTAGGTATTACAGGGCATAGGAGGGTCCAATGGGTACTAGACCCGCTGGATTACACCGGGTCTGAATTACTGCAGGTCTACTGTGTACATAAGTATAAACCGGTAATTTTAATTATGAACCAGTCTAACCTAAGGATACCTGGAAGAAATTGATTTCTAGTGATGAGGCTTCTGTAAGAATCTGAATGACAAAATTTTCATAATAAAGTGTATATTCATTCATTCAAAAACATTATAACACGATTTATAAATCTAGCAGATTAATGCTTAAAAAAACAATAAACTGCATTTGAATCTGAATTTGATATTTTGTCTATTAGTGGATTGAATTTTACAATGTTTAGTATTTAGACATTCCCTATTTTTGTGATTTCATTACATAACAGTACTAAATTAAACATTTCAGCAAATCCTAAATCTGGCAGCAATAGAAGTGATGAAATACTTTCCCTTTTTAGAGGACTGCTTAATCCGCTACAGGTAAATTTAACAACTAAGCTTATTTGATTACAGGAATCTTCAAAGACCAAATAAATATTTTCTGTATTTTATAGAATAGTTACTTTGCCATCTGTTAACTTATTATATTAAAAATAATATCCGAATTACACACAGGTAGTCGATTTAAGTCGCACTGCGCCTGAGACCGTTGTGCGATGGCTGCCATCGCGTTGTCGCGTGCTGGCAGTCGGAGGGGACGGAACTGTCGCGTGGATTCTCAACTCGTTGCTCTCTGCTACCCATGTCCGGGTAAGAGATCACACAGGACTTAAGCACTTCATGAGCGGCTTATTCGTGTTCCTTGTTTCCCATTCGCTCCCGCGAAGATTGCCACCGACCGAAGCAAATGGGAATGCAGTCATTACCTCCATTTCAGTTTTTTTTATTCCCAATGCCTCCGGTGGCAATCCCTGCGGGGTCGACTGGGAATATGGCATAAGTCTTCCCTATAGATGTAGTATAGGGATATTTTGCAATAACCCACTACTTTTTTTTCTATGGATACTAAAGTATATGAAACTTTTGTTGATAGCATATTTCTCATTAAATATGTGCATTTTTTTTCTAGGCCTCTGTAGCAATTATGCCCATGGGTACCGGCAACGACCTGTCTCGTGTACTCGGATGGGGTTCCGGAAGTGATACGCATTTAGACGCACATTCCATTATCAATACCATTAAGCAAGCCGATGAACAGCTACTTGATAGGTATGTTTCTTATGTTTGTTAGTAAGTGATGATTTGTTCCACAGATTCCACCTGATGAAACTATTAATAAAAAGAAAACATTTTGAAATATTACAATTTTCTCATTGGTTATTTAAAAAAAAATGGAAACGTATCATTCCCATCTATAATTATCTTTGGGGAAATCTTTCGTTTTATGATAAGTCGCTCAATTAATAATATATGAAAGGCTACCAAAAAATCATAAGTGTCTCGGTAATCTAAACATATTAGATTCGATATCTTTTTACCCGGTTGCGCAATGCAAGAGCGCGAAGCGCGACGCGCAGACAGGGTTATGTGTTTAACAGTCTATATATGTATGTTTGTTCCTTTGTGGCACACTAGAGACCAAACGCCTGGACCGATTTTGATGATTCATACATCAATCGATTCGTCTCAATCATGGGAGTGCTACTAAAGATATGATAGTAATCAAAATTCAATATAGGCAAAATTAGGCGCCATATTGTGACGAAGTAAAAAAAAAAAGTTTACAAAATATGTCGAGTGATCACTGTCTAGATAATCAAAAATCATATTTAGGTTTCTAACACCATTTTTCATTTTATATGATTGTTTAGGATCTACAACGCTTTAAAGTTGTATATTAACCACTTACGCTTTTAATTTCAATCTTACGTTTGTATGGATCTTTGTTACTCTTTCACCTAAAAATACTGAATGGATTTTAATGAAACTTTACAGTAATATAGCTCATATTTGATAATTACATACATTTAATAATTTATGTAGTTATTGAGTGAATTGGCCAATATATAGCAATAAGTGTCACATAAGACGGAAAAAATGTCCCATCTGCGAGCCATTTTGGCCTGCACTGCAAAAACAATAAGAGTTACATGAATGTAATGTAGAGTGAAAATGTATCTCTTAAATAGTTCTAAAAAAAAGTCCGTGACACCATATATCTATTTTTAATGTGTAAGTCATTACCGCTAAAATAGTGAATCAAAACTAAAATATTATTTGATCTCTATTTCCAAAATGCACATTTTGTATTAACAAATCATTTTTTATCAAAACAAATACTTTAATCGCATTTGATATTTAAAGACGATAAACTTTGCTTTTTACACTATGTCATTTCGACAAATATTTAAAAAGTGACAACGATGACAAAGTGATAGCGCGGTGTACTATGTAAAAGAAAAAATATGGGGTATTCGCAGTATCTGATCCTATACGAAGTACTAACATTAAAACTGTGATACAGTTCCTTCTTATTAAATGATGAAAAATATATTATCATAATAGGTATTTATGATTATTGAATTTTAAAGAAAAACTCAGAATTTTACTGTTTTTCATTTTTTTTAACGATATTACTTAAGGTTACAAAAAAGGTTTACTTAATATAATGACTTATTGGAATCTCTGTATTTATTAATCAGCTCGCGATAATATTGGTTTTGTAATAATTCTGCAAAATTCAAAGTAAATAATGTAGATTTTTATAGGTAAATCACCCCTTTCATCACAAAACAAAACTTGCCTCTTTATAATATTAGTATAGATAGTTAGGATAAGATAAGTATTTAATTGATGAAAAAGATTTAAAAATAAAGTGAGTAATAGGTTTATTTGATTATATTTGTAAAAGTTACTTAGCATTTGTGCTTAACAGTGATACGTTATTCGGTATTTTTATAACAAAAAAAAAATTGGAAAATAATTGCCATGATTGCATTGGGAGTACTCTTCATTCGAGCTTTACACTACCAATAAAAAAGGGTCGAACACAAAGTCTTTGACCTGTTAAATGTGAACGCTTTAAAAGAAAACTACAAAGAGAACTATAAATTGATAATAAATGAGATTGCTATGGTGCTCTACCTAACGTTATGAAAATTTTATTATGCGCCTTTAGTTTAATCAAATATTATAAACTTTGCTTCGGTGATTGCATAATTATATAATTTAGTGATCTAAGGCAGTTGCCACCATTGTCCAAAACAACAGACGGGAATTACTTCTTTCTTCAACCTGCGACATAAACGTCATTGATTGGTATTGTATATAGGGTGATTAAAAACATTTGAAGTTAACTTCTTCTTTAAGTTAACTTCTGGCATCTACATATTGGGTTTCTGTGAATTATGTAGGTATATCAAATTATGAGACTAGGGACTGACACTGCATTTGTGTATATCACAATCTTAGACGTCCGGCATTGACATGACAATGCAGCCACTGCCAATTTTAAGTAGTCGACGAATAAAAGTAAATGAATTTTATATTTACTGCTAAACTATTAAAAAAAACATAAACAAAAGATGACTTTTTGAGTAAGTGATTAGAGATATTTATGTAACGACTTGATTTAACTTCACACATTTTTGCGAAAATTGAGGCCCATCTGTAGCCTTGACCCCGCTGGTGAAGTCTTTATATGTCTTAATAAATCAATCTTTTAGACCGACGCAAGGTACTTAATAATTCCCTTACTGAAGTAACAAGACTACGGTATATACCGTCTTAAAATACTAACTAAAAAGTGTGAAATAAAAAAGGTAAATTTAAAAAATCAAAAAACCCGACTGCTTAATTTTTCTTCAAATAAAAACTGAAAAGAAAAAAACAAGTCCAGTAGTCTATAATTCTGTTAATAAGGAACAAAGCTACTTTAACAGTCGGGACCCACTGTTGAAAAATATTATGTATTCTTGAATATCTAATGGGTCCCGACTGTTAAAGTAGCTTTGTTCCTTATTAACAGAATTATAGACTACTGGACTTGTTTTTTTCTTTTCAGTTTTTATTTGAAGAAAAATTAAGCAGTCGGGTTTTTTTAAACTTTTATGGTCACTAACATTATAGTAATATATGTTATTTACGGAATTACCATGTAGTACCTTGTTTTTAGTGAGTTTCCGGTATTTTGGTACTGTTGCAAGAGCCATAATCGCTTAGTAACTGATGTAATTGCGGGTAGGTTGTTATTGGCTATAGCGAGTTCTAGCGAGTTGTTTACAAAACAAGGTAAGGATTGCTAAACAAGGTACATGGTAACAATCCCATAAATAACATGAATTACTATAATATTAAATTATACCATTAAATTACGGTACGTAAACAGGTGGAAGGTGACAATAGCCCCGAGGCCAGGTCGACTCGGCCGGCCTCGTCCGAAGCGCGTCGTGTACGCGTACAACTATGTCAGCATCGGCGTCGACGCACAAGTCGCGCTAGATTTCCACTATGCTCGCGCGCAGTTCCTCTACAGATACGCCAGCAGGACGCTCAATTTCGTGAGTAAATGTGTGATGCTGGAACCAGGGAAAGAAGTATTTCGCTTCTTCTAGCCCCGCCCGGAGCGCATCGTGTACGCATTGACCAACTTTAGGATCAGCTTCGACGCGCAGGTCGCGCTAGACTTCCACTATGCTCGCACACAGTTCCTCTACAGATAACCAGCAGCAATGAAGTTCGCGGTAGTCGCTGCACAGTGAACGAAATTTAGGATAATGTAGGCGCACGCGGGATGCCATTAATAGAAACCTGCTTGTTGCACTCGCTGCTAACTACAAAACTGCCACAAAGTTTGAATCGCTCTTTCAGGCTAAACTCACACTAGCGTAGAGCCGAAACGTCGCATCGCGTCCTGTTTTTCAACTGCGACGCGCATCGGCGCGCCACGTTTATGAGGGAATACCTTAATAGTGAGAAATAAGAGATGAATTTGCTACAGGTAAAGTGCGGGAAACCGTGATGCATGCGTCGAGTCGCGTCGCTTCGACTCTGTGCCGGTGTGAGCTGAACCTAAATGTATAATACTAGAACCCACGGTAGTTATTTAAATTTTGTATAGAGTACAGTTTGTCTATAAAGTCGTGACATGAATGTTTGAGAAAGTAACATAATTCATGTGTCTGGCAACACCAAACTTATGTACATCAGCTGTCATCGAGTTTCTGTTGTGGAACAGTTTTTCTTTTGTATTTTTTTATTTTTTGGATTCAACTATAATTAATTAAGACGAAACTACGCAGAAAGGTATAAAAATGAGTAAAGTAAATCGGAGTGGCACGCAGGAAGTGATTTTTAAAGTTTTCCAGCGATGTTTCGAAGACTACCAAGCTGGACGAATTTTGTGGGATTTGGATGATGTTTATGGGCGAACAGCATCTATGACGGGTATGTAATCGTGTAACTATTTGTTTGTAATCCGCCTAAAGTTACAAATTTACTCATTTTACGATTTTGAGACCAAAACAGGCATTGTTTACATTGCACATTTTTAGGTTAGATTGACATTGTAAATAGGTAATATTGTAGTACGACCATTTCTTTTGATACATTATTATGGTTCAACTCGGTCAGGTTTTCTACCAATTTTGAATTAATTGCTTCGTGTCAATAAGTTATTGTTTCTATTTCGTTACATATTTTTTTACTTTTTTTCAGAAAAATCAGAGAGTCGGATAGTCAACGAAGGTTTTAAGAATGATGGAAAGTTTGAAACTCCTGGGAAAACAGGCAAGGCCGACCAAAGAAAGAAATGGTCACATAAAGAACCATGGCCAGATGCTTATAGTGAAGATACCTATCACTAATTTTACTAACTGCACATTTATAAATTGTTTCTCTAAATAAACTTTTTATATACTATAAAATGATATTTAGTATTATTTTCTTAACAAGTGTGTTAAAAAACATCGTACAATGAAACTTGTGTGTATTGATGATTACCTAACGGCTCTGGTCTCAATGGCACCTCAGCGGTAATTACCAACATTACACACTTTTACACTATAAAGTACTATTTTATCTATAATAATTTTATTCTGATTCAATTAAATATGCTTGGCTAAACTTTTTATAAGCATAAGTACCTACTATATATAAAACAGAAACAAAATACGACTGTATAGTGTGTCTTATTAATTACCTATTTTACTTAAACGAATTGCTAGTATCAAAATCCTTTTGGTCCGACTGTATAGGGTTGCTACATGCATACTAGTGGCGCCATCATTTAATGTCACGACTTTATAGACAAACTGTAAGTGGAGATTAAACCCTAGCTCTACGGGATATTAAATTTTACGTATGTCTATTCGTGGATGGAGTTATCAAAAATCTAGCTTTTAGGAAATTAAATTATACTTTAATCAAATTGACTTATTGAAAGCTCCTTTGAATCGTTCAATATATTTTACCATTTATTCAGGCTATATTTTATTTGATATATAAGAAAAACCCAAATTCTTTTTTTATTGTTATAGTATATTTCCCGGTGAACTATGTAAGAATGACGTAGACTAACTTTTAATAAAATTGTAAAATAAGAATTTTAGTAAGTGCAGCAGAGCAGCAAAGGTCATATAAATTGATTCGTAGGTGGCGTACGCGTTTCTAGGCGCGGGTCGTGCGTTGGACGACGGCGGTTGCTGCGGCCTAGAGAAGCGGTTGCGAGTGCGGGTAGATCACGCGTGCGTGCCTCTAGATCTACCGCCTCTGCAGGCGCTCGTCGTGCTCAACATACCTTCATGGGGCGCGGGCGTCGACTTGTGGAGTAACTATGCTACTTATTTGTATTACCTTTGTGTTTTACGTTGGAGGATGGCGGTTGTTGCCGCCTAGAGAAGCGGTTGCGTGTGCGGGTAGATGGCGCCTGCGTGCCTCTAAAATTGTAGATCTATAGCTGCTGCAGGCAATCTCAACATATTCTCAGTGAATGTATCTTTAACTACCTTCTCAGGTTTTTGTCTCAAGAAGTTTTAAAAATTAGACGAAAGAGTGTTTGTGAAAGGATATTTTTTTACAATAAATCGCCACTTGAGACACTTCAAGTAATATCGATGAACTCTCTCAACGTCTTCTTTTTCAAACATGTAACTCCAATACCAGTCGCAGTTTAACTGTCATACTCATGCATATTTTCGAATACCGGGTGTAAGTATCCCACCTATCAGAACACCACGTGACAGGTTTTGAAGTCAAATGAATATTTTTCTTTTCTTCTTAAGTTTAGTCACGCTTTTAAAATATCAGACTTAAAATAAAACAGGAAAGCAATAAAATAGACTTAATAAAATGGAATACATTTATGCTCGTATTCATCACACAAACATCTGCCACCACCGGGATTCGAACCCGGGACCTCTCAAGTCGTCAACACCATGAAACCCGGCGTACAAATAACTCAACCACGGAAGTCGCCAAATAAATAATAAAAAATACATGTATTCAACAAATTTCATACAATGTCTTTTTTGTTCACACTTACAAACCTACATGTATAAAACATTATATGTTTTATACATGTAGGTATGTACTATATTATAGTAATCAACACTTGTAACTTGTTGGATAAACAAAGTATGTTATGTAAATAAGTGATTTATACTTGTTTGTTTTTAAAGCATTTATCTGCTAGATGATTAATTCTAAAGAAAAGTTTTAATAGAAAAAAATCCACGCGGACCAGGCAGCAGATGGGACTCGAACCCGCACCCTTTGCAATCCGGGCGAATGCACTGACCAATTATGCTACCGCGGCCATCGAAATTTTCCTGTCCTTAAGCTGCAAGGCAGCGCCATCTCTTCGCATTCTAGGTAACCCACAATGTCAAATGAATACTTTTTCAAGTATTAAAAATTTGAAAGAAGAAATAACATTTATAGTTATGTTTTTTTTATTAAAACTTTTCTTTACAATTAAACATCTAGCAGATAAATGCTTAAAAAAACACAACTATAAATGTTATTTCTTTCAAATGTTTAATACTTGAGAAAGTATTCATTTCACATTGTGGGTTACCTACAATGCGAAGAGATGGCGCTGCCTTGCAGCTTAAGGATAGAAAAATTTCGACGCGGCCATCAGGGCCGCGGTAGCATAATGGGTCAGTGCATTCGCCCGGATTGCGAAGGGTGCGGGTTAGAGTCCCGTCTGCTGCCTGGACCGCGTGCATTTTTTTTTATTGAAACTTTTCTTTAGATTTGATTTATATTTGTCAGATACTAGTTGTCTATGCAGTGTAAACGAAATAATGTTTTAACCAGTCACAACAAGTATTCTAAACTAGTTAAGGACTTGTTTCTTGGTGGAAACGATGGTTAATAGTCGTAATTCAGTTGTTTCCGATTTTGAAAGAGTTTGATCTTAAATGCGACAATTTGTAAGTTCGACTGCCAGCAAGACATAAGTCTATTAGCATTGTGAATGCAAAATCATGCTTAAATATATTACATTTCTTGTTCAAAGGTATGGGTGACAAATATGAAGTTGAGGAGCAGAGCATAAGTGATGAAAAACTTGAGGTAAGATCACAAAAAATACTACATTTAGTTGAAAACTAGATTAGATCCGTCTTGTCATTCTCCAAGACACAAATGAGGAGCATCTGTTCGAAGCGGGCTATTTCAAGGTAAATGATGATAAAATAAAAAAAAACGTATGCTGATTTGATGATGTATGTGAAGTGTTTTTTTTATTCAGGTAATTCTTTAAAAAGCACAAAATTAAGAATTGGAAATAGCACTTTTTGGTCGGATATTCGGAAAATAGCATCTTTGCTCAGGAATGATAATAAATAGCAACAAAAAGTAACTTTTTGAAGTTATTTTTTTAATTAGAAGCTACATTTATGCCAAAATAAATATATAAAACAACTTGGCATTGAATAATTGTCATTACTTTTTAAGATAAAAAAAAAATTATAGTTTGCCAAAATGCATGTTTTTTTTATCTTAAAAATTAATGACAATTGGCATAAATGTAGATTCCAAATTAACAAAAAACTTCTCAAAAGTTTGATAAAAATATATTATGAGTCGAACAACAACTTTTAAAAGAGCTAAAAATAGCACCGTTTGAATAGAACCGCGAGTTTAAGTTCAAATTTGAAGGGGAAATAATCACTGTCGATCAAGACTAAACACTCGAGGAGCTCGATGGCGCAGGTGGTTAGCGCGTTCGGCTGCAATCGTTGAACTTCAGCAACTTTCGCAGTGGTCGATCATTGGATGGGTGACCAAAAATTACTATCTCGAGCTTCTCCGTGCTTCGGAAGGCACGTTAAGCCGTTGGTCCCGGTTGCATCTGCAGTCGTTAGCACCCACCAATCCGCACTGGGCCCGCGTGGTGGGTCATGGCCCAATCTCCCTATTCCATCCATAGGGAAGGCCTGTGCCCCAGTAGTGGGGACATTAATAGGCTGATGATGATGATGAAAATCAGTGCCGAGTTGTTTTATATATTTGGCCATAAATGTAGCTTCCAAATTAACAAAAACTTCTAAAAGTTTGATAAAAAAATATTATGTGTCGAACAACAACTTTTAAAAGAGCTAAAAATGGCACCGTTTGAATAGAACCGCGAATTTAAGTTCAAAGGACATTGCTCTGTGTCCATACATAGTTAGCCTAAGAACCAACAATCATGAAATATTATTTTCTAGATTCGAAATCGCAAGTAAATGACTGTAAAAACAAAGATTATTAACGGACACTTCTAAGAACTTAAATTATTAGGAAAACTAAAATTTTTTTGAGGTTATGAAAATATTCAATGAAACGTAGGTCAACCTATGAACTCAGTATAAAGTGAATTAATATTACAACTAATTCTTGTATTCGGTGCGATTTTAAAGAATAACTATTAGGAAAAACTTGGTTAGGTAGGAATCATGAATAAAATAAAAACAATAGTTTTGCTTCATAGTATTTATTGACTATTTTTCACATAATTGTATTTATTTGTTTAACACATGTATATTGTGTAAATATGCAGCGTGAATGTGTATCAGGTGCTCTTGAATAATTTGGCAATATGATCCTCTCAGGATGTTGTGGCATAGGTTCACTAGCACTTGATAATAATGTCTCTGCTCTTTGGTTACAACGATGGCATATTAGATAACCGAAATAGTAATAGTTAAATTAAAGGAAAAACAATCGCAAATAAACACACACAACCAGGTAATCCGTACGAGAATTTTCCGTATATAAAAAGTACTCTTTGACGAGAATGCACGAATGCCACAGTTACTACGAATGCAAACTGCCTACCACAACCACACAGTATCAAGTTTATGTCGGCCCTTCACTTGACAACAGTTTGTCCTTGTCATGCTTATTATGGAATGAAAAGGACAGACTAATGTCATGTTTTTAAATAGCAAATACAAATAGCCAAGTGAAGTGCCGGCATTAGGAAGAAAGTGTCTTTGTTTGCAGTGCTGTATTGTGTTGATTATACACATAAAATGGTATTTTTTTGTCTCAGCTTATTTATTAACTTTTTAATTTAGCTTACTTAACTGGAAGTGTCCGTCACAATCTAAATACTGATAATTATCGCAAAAAATATACTAAGAATTATCATAAATGCCAAATTGGTGTTGGTTCTTAGGCCAATTTTAACATTGTCCTTTGAAGGGGAAATAATCATTATCGATCAAGACTAAACACAGGCTGTGATAGGATCTTAGAATACCAGTAGAATTCACGAAAAAAAACTATAAATACGGAAATAGCCCCCTTTGAACAGACGCTCCTCAAATAGATGTGCTGGCTAAACAAGCGAAATTGGATTTCAAAAAACCATTTATTATCAGAGAAACTAACTAAAAATTTTAAAATAACCATCACAATCCTTAATGATAAAAAGTTGAAACCAGCTTCTTCAAGAAAATGTCCAACTCATAAAGGAAATTTAATTGTTCTTTTTTTAGGTAGTTGGCATTTCTTCATCATTCCATATAGCGCGACTTCAATGTGGACTGGCGGAACCGTATAGATTTACGCAAGCTTCTCGAGTCAAGGTAAGACAAATATTTAAATATTAGGAAAAAGGGGTAAGTTTAGGTTTCTAGTATTTTTTTAGGCATCGCGCAAGAGAAACCACAATATAAGCACAAAATAGATAGTGCAGAAGTCAAACTCATGTACCTATGTAAGTACTACGCTTTTCATACCTACGCAAGGCGGTCGCGCTAGAATTTGATTAGCTTGAGATTTAAATCCATGTCTTATGCCTGAAACTCAAAACAACACGAATTTAAACAACCGTCCATTGAACAGATATAACAAATTTTTTGCTGCTCCATTTTTGCAAAATAAAACGGTCACAGACGCGTGTCTCAAACGAATGAAACTCGTGCTCACACTGGTCCCAAGTCCCAATCGGTCCGAGATATCGTTACTGTGAGTGGTGTCTTTGTGGGCGTTGCACAAGCGAACTTTGTATGTAGATTGACTTCTTGACCATCTATTTTTTGGTATAAGTATCGGTGTGACGTGCCCGGAACAGGGCTGACGTCCGCCCTCTGAGTAGTTACTGAAACCTATGGAGATGGCATAATACTCTATATAAACAATCTGTTATACAAATATGATTGATATCCACATTGGACTCATAAACTTGCAGCCATCTCATTTTAACTAAAGTACTCCACGCGAAAAGAGAACATTAATACATATTTGTCTGAACTAATAACGGCAACATTATAAAGTGTTGCCATTTTGGTTTCTCACTATCTTTTATATACCGTAAGTGAGGGTTACTTTAGCTCGGGCTGGTAACTTTGTCCCAAATCAGAAAAAATATTGAACTTGCCGCCACATCAGTATCTCTTGGGTGACCATAATAGTTCCAGTTGAAAATCACAGATGGCCATATAGGCGCGTAGTGTGGTGTTGTTTTACCGACGCCGTTCCTGTATCAAGTTGTCATTGTAACGCGGGATTTTTTGTAACTGAAATAGCAAGTTCATGCGCAAACTTTCTCATAACTGTGGTTTTCGGTAAGTTTACTATTTTTTCTAAATTTAAAGTTATATTTTTTATTTAACTTAATTATTTTAGGGCAAAAACATCCATTTGTGTATTCAGTATGATAATGGTGATCTGTTATAAGGGTTACTTAACCCCAACATGGCTTAAAATGAGTTTTTTTCACAGAGAAAACTCAACGAGCTAAAGTAACCCTCTTTAAGGCCAACTTTGGCCCAAAATTTAAAAAATATATATTAACCCTTAAATATTATTTTTTCCTATTTTCGTATGATAACTTTGTAACTTATACTTTAAAGTTCACAATGGAAAGATATAAACGTGACATATTCATCACAAAGAGAAGCTACAATTTTATTTGAAAAAAAAAAGTGCACATTTTAGGTCAAAGTAACCCGCAGTTACTGTAGTTCGTTATAAAGTGAAAGAAAGTACAAGGAACATACCTAATTGCAGCGTTGTAGGTTGCGGCATTAAAAAAGGCAAAATTCGACCAAACATATCGTTGCACCGCACCGGTACGTATTATTATTAAGCTAATATACCAAACAATACAATAAATGCTTTATAGTTTTTCTTTCTTACACATAGTTTGTGAATAATTAATGCAGAATTTACCATTTACTACGTATTGATATTGTATTTTATCAATGTTTCAAACAGTTCCTTTGCCGATAGAGTCGCCATTCAAGACGTTTTTCATATCGATGTGTTAATTTCAAGACAGTGTAATTGTAGGGTAATAAATAATACAATTAAAATCCTGACATATTATTTCATTTGAAGCTATTTATTAAACACTTTATTTTACTAGTTTTTTTTTTATTTATGTAACAACCAAATTTCATGTAAATCTTACTTCAGACGGGACTCGAACCCGCACCCTGCGCTATCCGGGCGAATGCACTGACCAATTTTTGTATATAAAATGTGGTGGCTCATAAATTTTATTTCTTTCATTTAAGAAGTATTTAATTGTCTTTAACACAATTTATTTAGCTAGCATTCTTAGTTTGCGAGATTTTTAGGATTCTTTATGTGACCCGGATTCTTCATTGCTCTCGAGTGTATATCAAAGGTCAAATCTATCACCTTAATTATAACGTCCTTAAATATTTAGGTAGACTTCCTGTAACTCTGTGTATTTATCGGGAAACTGTTTGTAAACAGATTGAGTTAGACGGGTCGTCTGCTATGCAAGTGGATGGCGAGCCGTGGATGCAGGGCCCTGCCACCATACACATCGAACACGCCGGCCAGTGCTGCATGCTACGCAGCACTAATTCGTTAAATTGATTTTTCTTAAAATGAAAATAAGAAATAAACATTATTTAACTATTCTCACTTAATTGTTTTCTTTAACCACTCAAATGCTATGGAAACTGTAGTTCCCCATATATCTTAATAACCATCAAAAAATATAGTCCCCAGTAAACGTCAAAATAGAAATAGCTATTTTGCCTCGCTTTTGCATGGATGCGATCATGGTGAGAGAGAGAATTATAAGGTATTTTTTTGAATATGGAACAAATAACTTCTAGACTTACCAGGGTGTCCAGATTGAGGATAGTCAGTCAAAGCTCAAAGTGTTCAGGAAAAGTCAGTGAATTTCAGGAGGGCTACTTGGAAAGAAAAAAATGAGATTCTACACTTCTATCACACACTTTCCTAGTGAGTGTTAAATGAGATCATGAATTAATTATATTTTCACTAGGTATCAAAACATTTCGGAGCTTATCTACATTGTGACATGATTTTGGTCATAGATTATTGAGAACACGTTGATTGACGCCATTTCACGGCGATTGTAGAGTCGAGGTTTTTAGTCACTTCCACAGCTCTAATGATGCGGGTCGCGCGCTGCTGTAACCTAGTTTGTGTGAGGCAGTTTTTTTTCACGCTTTGATGTAGTTCCTTGAATTTAGGTCACAGCGAACTTTTGGAAGTTTACTGTGACATTAATCGGTATTGACCGATCATGGTGACCAATTAAATGAAATGAATTAATGTTGGTTATGGTAACTTGATGTGTGGCTGTCTGTACATACTCATAAGTAAAAGAAGAGTACATAAATTACTTAACACATTTATTTATTAGACAACACGACAACAGTAACAATTTATATAATAAACTTCCTATGTACCTTGTACAAATAAAATAATAAGGTAACAAGTAGCCCAACGTCCGAGTCATACACACAAACGACAGGAAATTTCAAATAAAACATTTATACAAAGGTCACAAACCCCGTTGCGAGTTACGTGAATTAACATAATGGCATTTTGTACTAGTTTTTTAAAGGAAAACGTGTTCCTACTTACCACACAAATCGGACAATATTGTGGAAATAAGAGTTCAATCTATCATTAATTTATTAACTATTAAATTTTAGTAATTTACCGTCTTTCGACTGCTATGGAGATTAATACATATTATAATTTAATTGTAATCACAGCAATATAAAAAAAACGTTCTAATTGATTTGACACCTAAAAAACTTAAAAGATTTGATATAAAATAAATATAGGTAGGTACCTAAAAATGGTAAAAGCGGGTTATCCACAATAACGTATGATTAAACTTGCATTTGTATTGTAACTTTGTAAGCGTACTGGCGCAAAATTTTAAGAGTATCAAATTTTATTGATATAGCAATAATCATAAGTATATAACAATTTTTTATATAAATCTAATTAGTAATTACCAAAGCAAATGTGGAAGTTTATGAGTTATGACTACCTATATCTTTAAACATATATAGGGTTTTATTTTGTAGGTATCTTCTCCATGCAACGCAATGTATTTTTTTTTATTGTACTATAACATTAAAACATAATTTTACACATAAAAACATTAAAACATATAACATTTTATGATTCTTAGCAATAAATAACAGTGTTCAACTTCTAGTTCGTCGTAAACAACGTACGTTAGTAGAATAAAATTCTTTACGAGTCATATGAATGCGAAATAGTTAATGTAAACCCTATTATAACTAATTTTATGTAGCTGCCAAAGGTTATAATAGAATACGCTACAAGAATTTATTATTAAATGATAACGGTCGTTGATGACTATAAAAAACAATTTAAATGAACAGAAATATAGTCTCTCAAAATGTCGTAAACAAAATAAAAATATATTTATTATTTTAGTGGGAATGTGTAATATTTTAAATAAATAAAGTTGATATAAAAAATAAATAATCCAATGTGATATGATAAATAACAATGGTTATGTATGGTTACTGATGTATGTCAAAATTTATTGCGCTTTTTTGGCACCGAGTTCACAATATAATTATTTCTTTATGTAAATAGATTTTTTTTCAATAATAGGCTATTTTAGGGCCATTTCGGAAGACTGCTGTTGTTATAATCCACGATTTTTTTTATTGCAAGCGTTTTGGTTTTTCTATAAAATTGTAACTTAAAGTATAACAAAGTAATAAATATAAATGTTTTGCTTATTATTATAAGTTTGCCGATTACTGTCATCACAATTACTAAACGTTAAAATGTAGTTACACTACAAGCACTATGTGTATTAAGCTATAGGGTTTTCCAATAAGACCAAGGTATGTTTGAATTCAAATAATATCAACTTGTTTTAAACTTTCATGGTTACTTACAATAAAGTAATATACGTTATTTACGGGATTTTTACCATGTACCTTGTTTATAACGAATTTTCGATATTTCGGCACTGTTGCAAGCGCCATGATCACGGAGTAAAACAAGGTACATGGTAACAATCCCGTAAATAACGTATATAACTATAAAATCAAATTTATTGTTAACGATAACATTAAATTAATTGTTTTTTTTAGAAGCGTACTTTGTGTGGAATTCGACATCGTTGAAATTATCACCTCGGCTTGGTATGGTGACCTGATTACTAGAGGTCCAATTATTATTACTTTTTGTCATAATGATTATAATATAATATAATAATTAGAATCATATTTACTCTATCACGTTGATGATGCTTGGATTGTTTGTATACACCAGTAATTTTACATTATCCCAAAAAAATCAAGGCCCTTAAATCACATGATCTTGAAGAGCATGTCTTATTCCTGTATCTTGAGTTCGGCATCTCCATAAGACGGCTACGGTGATCACAAGTTTCCTTTAACGCAGGAAACGTTTAATGAATTGAAGTACCGTTTTGATTATTATTATATCAATACTTTTTAATAATTTCAACGTGTTGCTCAACTGTCCAGTGACTGGTATAATAAATGCCTAACTTTTAATAATGAGTATATCAAAAATTTGGGTCCATAGATTATCTAATAGTCCATTCAAAGATATCCTGTACCTATAGGAAAACCCTGTACAACTAGAGGACATAAATCTGGAATGGTTAGTTTAATTCTAGAGAATGTATGAAACAATATAAGCTTGTTCGATAAGTGTTTTATCAAGTTTGGTAGCATAAGTTCTCACTTATATATAAACCTTCTCTGACGTTTTATAAACGTCTTGGTATCATTCAAAAATCTGTAATAATTAATATAATTAGAGCTTTTTAACGGGATATACACTACTCAATTTTAAGGGCCAAATCGAAAAGGTGGGCGTGGTCCCTAGCTAGAGTAAGCAATTATTACACCGCGCCGATCGCCCTACATCGGGTCCCTTACTCCCTAACTCACATTTCACCCTTAGTCAGTCTAAAGGTCCCTTAAAATTGAGTACTGTAAATCCCGCATTAACAAGCTAAGCTTTCTTCACATCACTATAGAACTGTCAGTTTAATGAATTTGTACAATAATTTTATATTTTTTAAATAGTAATTTTTCTATCAAGATTTATACACTTAACTAGAGGTCGTCGATATTATGACGTCAACAAAACAGCTGCTTCTCGGCAATGGTAACAGATAAATCTGCTGCTAACTATTACCTTTTAGTGAAGTCAACAATAAATAAATAAAAAAACAACACTACCATAGATAACATGCAATAAATGTTAATCTAAATGCAACTAAACTACTGTCGACAAACGACGTCTATTGCAATTATATATTTTTAACAATACCAAAATTTATTCTAAGTTGTTCTAGGAACACAAACGTGAGAATGGTGTGGGGAGCTAGCCTTGCAAAGGCCGGAATGTATCCTTTGAAGAAAGCCAGAGGACTCTCCTTTGCCGTATTCTTGATGAGTTTCAGCATGCTGTTGACTTCGCCAGGTTTTGCGTTCATTGCTCGCGTTTTTAATACGTCAACCGGTTGAGTCATAGTTGTCGCGATACCACCCTGAAAACAATTATTAAAAAAAATCTAAACCAACAGAGATTTACGCCCAGTTTTACCAATCGGGAATACGTATGAAATTCAAATATGGTTAATTTTTTTAGAAATTATTACTTTTATATGGTCCCTCCATCTATAATCTTTGATAAAAAAGTCAGATTACTTTTCAAGGGCGGATCCAGGGGGGGGGGGGGGGGGGGTCATGGGGGTCATGACCCCGCCCTGGGCTGGGTACAGATGGACCAAACCCAGGGGGATTTTATTTAAGTACTTTCAATATTTAATATACCACGACTGTATGAGCCCCCCCTGGCGCCAAAGCTGGCTATATGACCCCCCCCCCCTGGCGCCAAAGCTGGCTATATGACCCCCCCCCCCCCCCTGGCGCCTTAGCTGGATCCGCCCTTGTCTGAAATGCGACAGAGTTGTAGTGACGTAGATATTACATAACAATAAATAAACAAGCGCCATGTTCACAGAATATTATGTCAAAGTCAACGAAACCTAGTGCAAGTGTTACTGGGTTGCTATGGACTGTGACATCACACCAAGAGTTTTAAAAATAGCGAGGGTTTGAAATTACCGTGAAAAGTGGCTATTTTTGACGGTTTTTGAGACACATTTAACAATATTAAATACCCACTATTTTGTTCGTGATGGTGTATCTAGACGTGACCAACACGAATAAAAAATGTGGCCGAAACCTTGAACAATCCATGGAGCTCCGTAAGATGATCGCGCAGTCAAAAACAATATAAGGCGTTGTTTAAACATTGAAAGTCACCTTTAATGCATACTGTAAAAGGTCTTAATTAAAACGCATGCGTCTAAGAGATACGACAGTTCGATATGCAAGCTCGTATAATTTTATGACTTATTGCTATATGCGGAAGAATAAAGACCTTATTATATTGCCTCTACGCGCAATTCTGAATGCGCTATTAGCAATATAGCAGATTCAGACCTGAGAAAAAGAGACGGCTAAACGGCGACGTATAACCGACCATGCATTTATTATTAAATCACTTTATAGTAAGTATTAGAACAAGAATTGCTTTAAATGCGTTAAATTAACAAACATTGATTAGATACCTGTCGAAAAAACGACACTTTTCGTACTATGTGTAATTTTTTCACGGAGCTCTGAGACATCTTGACTATGTAACAATCCACGCGTGACTGTGATCAGAGTGCTTGAGTGGAGTTCAAGCACTTCTTGATTGGGACACATTTTGAGCGCTTGTGGTGTATTTAGGCTATTTAATATTGTTGAGTAATATAGGTAAAAAGCTTGCAAACAAGTTCAAATAAAATGTTTTTAAAATACTTACAGCTAACAAGCTAGATGTGACATGTGTAACAACATTATCACTGAAGTAGCTTGTACTAAGTAGTAATTCTTTTATTTTATCATAGAAAGAGAGTTGTCCTATGGTCATCAGAACAGCTCTACTGCAGGTCATAGACGCACCCGCCCATAAGCGTAATATTCCTTCTTGTGCCGCAACCCGATAAAGGCCATGTATTGCATTTTTATAACTGTAATTAAAACAATTTGTATTATAAAGTTGAATGAACCATTGCAGTTGCATATACCCAACATATTAAAAAATGCTTAAATTGAAGTAGATGCCACATGTGCTTCAAAGTATATGGAAACCAAACATGTCATATTTTTAGTGGGTACTCATGAGAACAAATTAAGTATACACCCTGGAAAATCGTTTTTATAGCTTAATATGACAAAGTTTGATATTTTTTAAACATTGTAATTGACATTATAGTAATATAAGTTATTTACGGGATTGTTACCATGTACCTTGTAATAACTAATATCGGAAACTCACTAAACAAGGTACATGGTAACAATCCCGTAAATAACTTATATTACTATAATGTTGGTGACCATGAGAGTTTAAAACAATATATTGTAGTTGACCTCCAATATCAAGAACAGTGATGCGAAGAAATAGATATGCATAAAACCAAGACCCTTTAGACACACAAAATATCTATTTGGATCTATGTCCACGGTCGGACATCCAATTTATGATGATAACAAAACAAAAAATTAAATTTATACTTGCTTCCTTCTTTGCCCAGGTGGCAATTTAACATCATTTTGCATGCGAACATTCACTAAGTCAGCAGGATTACCAACGAATCCACCAGCAAATCCACCTAGACCAGCTAGGAAAGCTGACATATAAAATGGCATTACACTTCCCTGAAACAAGTTATAATATTTTGTTGTTTATTTTTTACTTTTTATTATTGTTTTATTAAGTTTTTAAGGTACCTACATCTTTTGGTGCAAAGGTTTGTTTTGCCATTTCATATATACCAAACCTGGCTGTTGAATAGGTGAGTTGTCGAAGTAAGGATGCTGATATACCATTGTAAAGTCCCAGAATTCCTTAAAGAAAAAAATTACTGGTTGTGATATATTACTACTGAAATGTTGGCAACTAGTCAGACAAACAAAAAAGCCAAAATTATTGTAGATTTAGTTTTAATGTTTCTGAATAAAAGTTCCTGTGTTATTTCAAAAGATTAATGCTAACTACGTATCTGCAATTAGGGTTACCTTCCATCCAGATTAGTCCCGACTTTTAGACTATAGTCCGGACTTTGTCTGGAATCTTAGAATTGTCCGGACTTTTTAAATTACATTAATTATGAATAATAAAAGGACATATTGATTTAAATACCATACCAATGTAAGTAAGTGAGTAATGGTACCATTTTGTGATTAGGTATAGACTTTTTTCAAAATGTCAGGATATTTATCAGGACTTTTGAAATTCCTAAAAGGCAACCCTATCTGCAATGCAACATTTTCCCACTTATAATACTGTGCAGAAATGCAATATTTCTCTGTCTGATTGGAAGCTTACTGTCTGGCTGCTTAGGTGCAATAAATTAATGTAATTATTATGAAACTAAAAATGTATACCTGGACTCTTTAAAAATATAGTTAATAAACGATTACAATGATAAAACACCATTACCAACAGCTGATAGGTTGGGTAACTAGTCTGTTATTTTGCAACCCACTAATTAGCCTATCAGTCAGGCTTTTTTGATTGATTTGATTGTTAATTGAACAAATAACTAATATATTGATACTAGTATTAGAGCATTACTAATTCTTACCTTGGTTCTTTATAACAATTCCTGTTAATTTAAGCATTGAAATATTTTTTCCTTTTTGTGTTTGCATCTGTACCTTCAGCAAGTCTAATGGGTGGGTGACACAGGCTGCTCCCGCTGATGCTAAGCCTCCAAAATACCATTGTGACACTCGAGTTTCTTTGGTTTTATTCATATTACTAAAAAGAAAAGGTTTATTTGATTGTAACTAGTCTATGTGGTTCAAATAAAGCGTTAAAGTGATACATTTTTGTTTCTGTGTTTTTTATGAATGTTATTTATATAAATATCTCACTTTCTAAATGTTTCAGTCATTGAATGGTAATAAATACCTACCAACATAGAATTTACCGTGCCCGTCCTAAGAGAGCGAAGTTTTTTTTACTACTAACACTGATTATATCATAGTATCCATTTGTCTCTGTTGTAATGAGAGAAATTAGGTACTTAATAATTAGGTATAATTTTTATCTTTTACAAATTATGAGATCAATTTATTTAAATTAAAATTTTGTTGGAATGTAGATAAGAATGGTACCGACAGGTGCAGGTGAACGCACAGACTACTTAGCACAGAGTGAACTTTCTTTCAATGTACTCTATGGAGTCAGTGTTACCAGATGAGGAAACTGATATTACAGTTTTGGGTCCAAAAAAAATACAGTGTTTGAGACAAAAATACAGTAAAAGTAAAAAAAATATACAGTAAATTTTACAGCAGATATCAAGAAACTTATATACATGAATTTAAGAATAATTAAAAAATAAGACGCCAACCGATGAAATCCCGCCAAAAACTCCTTTTTTTTGTGTCTGTGGCTTTCTCTGTTTTACACAGAAATTTCACCAATGTCCAGTAGTGAGAGATGGGAACTAAAGCGACCGTCTTTGTAAATGTCATATTTTGTATGTTATTTACAAGAAGCTTATGTCATTTACGTAGCCAGTGGCGCCTTCCATAAGCTGTCACTCACGCTCTTAAAAATCTTGGTCACACTGTAATCTGTGCGAAGCGAAGGGAAGAAGAACAATGCCCATACAGCCTGACTTCGACTTTTTTTTTTAATTTATGAGCAATGAATATAGACTTCTTTAGCGTCTTGACATAAAGGTGCGTTCAGGCTACACTATAATATACTAAAGTGCGTTGTATTACAACCGTGTCCATATGCGCAACTGAAGAATCAGAGGAATCTTTAAAATACTTTGTTATTTAGATCAAGTGGATGCATGGTGTGGACGTGAGAACTTAATTGTATTGCTTACATAAAGTTGAGTGATCTGTTGTGCTGTGTACCTCACAAAAGCTATTAAGAAAGCTGACTCGATACGTTTCGTGCCAATGCCAAAAACTCAGAAATATTTTTCTATACACCCACATTTTAATGCAAAAAATACCTAAGATTAGGCTGTAGGAACTCAGTATCCTTTGTATTCCAAAGAGAAGTTTACAATAAGTGATCTGTCATTCCAAGAAGTCAGTGTCAATGTCACACAATCATGAACGAAGTGTCAAATATCGCCTAACCACGAGTTTTAATTCTTTTAATTTAATCGGGAATTATTAACTAATTACAGAGCGTAAAACAAGCAAACTGGTCTTGTTGTAAAAATACAAATTCAAGAAACAAATTATTTTTAAGAAACGCTATAAAATAAATTGAAGTTGCTAAGATAAATTTATATTGTATTAACTCAGGTCCGTGCTTTTAACTAAATACTTATTAATCTCAGTCCAAATAATATTAAGGTAAGATTACACACACGCGATAATAAATAGAAACTTGCCTTTGAAACAATGACCGAAAAGGTATTTTGCTATTAGAATTTAGTTTTAACTGATTTGTAATATTATATAATTAATGACACCACCAGTTTCAAAGTCACCGCGAGAGAACTGATAAATTTACGGAACCATTCAGTTTATCTCTAATCTAAGACACGAATGTTAATGAGTGCGAAACTGACAATCATTTTTTCATATCAGTCATTGATTTCAAAACTTTTTTCTGTTCAGTTTGTTAAAATTAAAGTGTGTTCCTGATATTTTTGTAATATTTCAGGATGTCAACAGATTTGATATCAATTCTACGACTGGATTCAGATTTACCAAGTAAAGTGATCACTGTAAAAGAAACCAAATATTGTGATAGTTCTTTTATACTTAGCTGTATAGTTTCTCATAGCATTAAGAATAAACATGCTGTCATTATTTTATCAACACATAATTCTTTAATGCATTATGAACAAGTTGGTCTTAAAATGAATTATAGTCTTCAAAAGCAAGTGGGTTCTGGTCTTGTCACATTTTTTAATCTAGGTGAAAAAATTGTCAATGATGTATTGCATAATCAGCACTTTTCTTTAGAACAAATTTTTTTTGCAATAAATGAAATTATTAACCACATGATGCTAACAAACCAGACAGTAAACATTTTATTTGATGGAATTTCACACTTGTTTGATCTAGGTTTTACACTACATGAAGTTAATACATTTTGTTGTAAACTTGTAAAACTAAGTAGAAATATAAATAATTCATTTATATGTTTTCATTGCAATGTAGCCTGTGAAGATGATATTACTTATATAATGGCTAATCTTCTGTCTCACAAAGCTCATACAATATTAACAACAGAGAATTTATTGTCAGGTTTGAGTGCTGATGTGACTGGACACTTAATAATTAAGCATCCCTTTTTAAAATTTCAGACAGAACATATGTTTAATTTTGACCAAAAATCAGAAAAATATCTGTTTAAATTGTTTGATAGAGGAGTCAAATTGTTTGCTCCTGGAACAGTTTAAACAAAAATTATTATTGGCACAAAAAGACTATGAAGTGTATTAAAATAAAAGATTTTATATTAAATATACAACTTTATTTGCCACATTTCTTTAACTCCTCAACAATTCAAGAAAGTCATTAAGTTTGCTATCAATAATGACATCTTTCTCAATGAGGTGACTTCCTCTACTCTTCTGGGAACTATAAAATTAGATGTCAATTGAATATATCGATACTTGTAATTACAATTGATGTAAAGCACATAAAAAAAACTTATTTTTTGTCTCTCCTGTAGTCGGGCTACATGAGAGACAAAAAAAAATTTTTCTTTGTGTTTTTAAAGATAAAAAAGTAATATAGACAAAATATACCTAAAATCGGGAGATGCTTATGATGAAATATTTAGTTTTTAGTCTAGTTTATTATTTTGGAAAATAGATGTGCCTTACATTTAAAAAAATCATTAAACTATTCTTTATATCGTTGTTTTATTATGATGTTCAGATGCATTTTACATTTTTTCTTCGACCCGAAAATAAATGTTTAGGAGTGTGTTTATATGGACATAGTAAGCAGGTGTAAAGCTAATAGAAAACATATATGATCTTATATTTTGAATTAAAGAATTAATTTATTGATTAGGTGGTCAAGCATACATAGCCTACATGTAATTGTAATCAATAATTTTAAGCTTACATAATCATGCCAGAATCGACATCTTGGATTACAGTTTGTCTATAAAGTCGTGACATGAATGTTTGAGGAACTAATGTGTCTGGCAACACCAAACTTTGTACAATGTACATCATCTGTCATCGAGTTTCAGTTGTGGAACAGTTTTCCTTTTGTATTTTTTATTGTTTGGATTAAACTGTAATAAATTAAGACGAAACTACGCAGAAAAGTATAAAAATGAGTAAAGTAAATCGGAGTGGCACGCGGGAAGTGATTTTTAAAGTTTTCCAGCGATGTTTCGAAGACTACCAAGCTGGACGAATTTTGTGGGATTTGGACGATGTTTATGGGCAAACAGCATCTATGACGGGTGTGTAATCGTGTAACTATTTGTTTGTAATCTGTCTGAAGTTACAAATTTACTCAATTTGCGATTTTGAGACCAAAAGCATAGTTATACGGCATAGTTTACATTGCACATTTTTAGGTTAGATTGACATTGTAAATAGGTAATATTGTAGTACGACCATTTCTTTTGATACGTTATTATGGTTCAACTCTGTCAGGTTTTCTACCAATTTCGAATTAATTGCTTCATGTCAATAAGTTATTGTTACTATTCCGTTACATAATTTTTTACTTTTTCAGGAAAATCAGAGAGTCGGATAGTCAACGAAAGTTTTAAGAATGATGGAAAGTTTGAAACTCCTGGGAAAACAGGCAAGGCCGACCAAAGAAAAAAATGGTCACATAAAGAACCATGGCCAGATGCTTTTAGTGAAGATACTAATTTTACTAACTGCACATTTACAAATTATTTCTCTAAATAAACTTTTTATATACCTACTATATATAAAACAGAAACAAAATACGACTGTATAGTGTCTTATTAATTACATTTTACTTGAATGAACTGCTAGTATCAAAATCATTTTGGTCCGACTGTATAGGGTTGCTTCATGCATACTAGTGGCGCCATCATTTAATGTCACGACTTTATAGACAAACTGTACTTAAGTTATGGATCGTAAATTATTGAATGTTTGTTTTTTTTTATAAAATCTGTCGATGTATATTTGTTTTATCAACTTGCTATGTGTATCGGCAGATGCACTTAATTAAATCTGCTTAAACGTTTTCCTGTATGTAAAATAACATTAATTCATTTCAATCATTTTTCGTCACATCGCTATGAATTTCTACCTAATATTTTTGTCATTCATTCTTCATTGCGCGTCTTTTCTTTTAATTGATTTATATTCTAGAATATGAACATTTTAGAAAATAATAATACTTATTTATGATAGGAAACACCATGTTTCAGCAGGATTAAATGGGCAGATCGGTCTTTGCGTGTGAAAACAACATAATTATTCATTTTTGTGGGAGCTCGGACTCGCGATACGGAACGATCCAAAATTGTAGCGGTCGCGCGTGAACTAGTTTAAAGCTAGCTACTGACATCCCTGCTGCAGGGACAATCTAGGGTGTAAGAGTGAGGATGACCCTTAATTGCCTTTTAAATTGTTTTGCGTGTAGGTAAGCAGGGGCAATTCTCTAAATTGGCCCTGCAGCAGGGCGGCAGGGGCGCGAGACCACCCTTGGTTCCTAGATTGTCCCTGCCGCCCTGCACGTTGCTGCGTATGTAGAGCGATCGGGGCAATTTCTCAATCAGTTGGTTGGTAACTGTCACACGGAACGCACGTATTTCGATCAAGTTGGTGGCAGATCATAATGAGCATAAAGTTTGGTCTAGAGTGATAGACGTATATAAAGACGGACCTCACATGTGGGATAAAAAACACAAATATTATTAATTTACAATACATTTCTTTCTGTTGTCAATTGTTAACCCAGTATTTCCTTTTTTTTGCGCTAACACCATAGAAAGAGCCAAGGCCGTACCTATCGTACTTTTGATTTTTTGATAATACTGGGGCCATTATCAACGCATGTGTTTAGCTCAACTTATACCCGAACACTGTATAGCAGGCATGTGTATACTACAGACAAGCCGATATTGTCCCGATCGCCGTGAGCCCTAGATTGGCCCTGCGGCAGGGATATCAATAGTCCACTTTATATAACGCATATCGTCCGAGTGGCCACGTACTTTGCCGGAGGGGTTCGCCCGCCTATGTGATGATCATTGGTATATATATATATATATATTGGTATATGCTCTAAGGTAAGGTGTGACGGGTAGGGATGCAAAGTCTTTTGAAATATCGATATTTATATCGATACTAGCGGCCCGCCCTCGCTTCGCTTCGGTGTAGAGCTGAAGCGTAGACTACAGTTTTTGTTCTCAGGCTTGTTTTATACACAATGACATTCATCTATGATTATTCTTATACCTGCATGCAAAGTCTCAGCCCGTTCGGTTTTAAAATTGACAAAGTTTCATACAAACTTTCATTCCCTATTTTATCCCCTTGGGGGTAGAATTGATCAAAATCCTTTCTTAGCGGATGCCTGCGTCATAACATCTACCTGCATGCCAAATTTCAGCCCGATCCGTCCAGTGTTTTGGGCTGGGCGTTGATAGATTACTACGTCAGTCAGTCACCTTTGAGTTTTATATATATAGATTATAAAAAAACTGAAGATGGTATATTTATCTTTTCCAAACTTCTATTGACATCACGTCGCTCAATTATTTTGCCTTCCCAGAATCTCTCCACTAACATTTGAAATTTATGGTATGGTATTAAAGTTCAAATTGACTTTTAAGTATTATTACGAATCGTTTGTATGGGAGTAAAGAAAAGTTTTGTTTTTTGACATTTTCAGGCATTTTTTTTAAATTTTCTCTTCGTAAGAACCATCCTCGTACTTCAAGGAATATTCTAAAAAAAAATCAGCCAAATCGGTCAAGCCGTTTTCATGTTATGTCGTGACAACGGAAAACGGGTTTCATTTTTATATATATAGATTTATATCAGAGTCAGGAAAATATCGATATCCGATATATCGACCATTTTAACTTGATATTATCGATATATCGATTTTTTTTATTGACATTAGAATACGGGGTGAGTATTTGTATGTTTGTTGGCGAGTTTCTCGCAAAATGCATTGAGCCAGCTTTTTCGTTAACACGCGTGCCCATGACTTCAGAATAGGGTAAGCCCAAAGCTTCCAAAATTACTATACCTATCTTACTTTCTTGACTTGACGAGCTTAAAAAATTTTGTTATATTACAATCATATTAAATTTAAATTAATCAGTAGTTGTCAATTATCTCGAAAGAGAGGCAAGGATTTTATTTAAGTGCATGAGTTACCATTAGGTATACGATTATACCTATATCCATTGGTGCCGATTCTGTCATGATTATCTAAACTTAAAACTAAATTTAACATCAGTCTCTCCTTTTCATTCTGTATAGAGAAAGACAAGGATACACTGTTGTCAAATTTAATTTTAGGTTTAGAGAATCATGCCAGTATCCACAACAGTTTAGTATATTTCTTGGGGTTAAAGATTTTTTTAATACATCTATCAGCTCTTGCGATTTCAAAGCAATAGTTATTTCGATATTACCAATTTAGATAGTCGTAGTAGGTAAATTAATTGATATTATTGTGTTTAAATTTAGTCTACGAAATATCGATATTTTGGAATTTCCGATATCGATATCAGTGAATTTTAAATATCGATATAAATATCGATATTTTGGTCTCGATAGTATCGATATTCCGATATATCGTTGCAACCCTAGTGACGGGCTGATGTGATGTGTAGCGCTCACATGTACCTGATGCCTTCTGACAGCGTTATCAGAACGTAACTTCTGTAAAACTTTGCGTTACTTTGGCCCCGTGGCGTTATTATAGCTCTATTTTATTATTTGGGTACTATTTGTAACAATTTAAGTTTTTTTTGTCATTCTTGAAATATCGGAATTAAATGGCGTGTATTCTGGGTATAGGCAACGAAATGCAGTTACACGAAGGCTAAGAACTCAATTAGTAGTTTTTTCCCGCGCCCGCCACGGTTGCGGGACCGCAGATCGCGCAGAATGTAAAATTGTAGGTAAAACACAAAAGCAAAACTCACGGCGCATTTTGCACCCGCCAAGCGCGCGGGTGTTTGCGGCACTCGCTAAAGTTAGGTACAGATTGGTGCAATGCAACATGTAATGTAATATTCAGCCTTACATTGCATGTTCCCTGCTGCCTTGGACGTGTGGCGTGCGCGGTCCGCGCATTGACTACAAATCATTCGAGAACATATGTTCCCGCATTTCGTTACAAACACTAGCCCACGTCACACGTGTTCTTTTCTTTGCCCGCATCACTCTACTTAGTCGATATACTTACGAATCAATTAATTAATCAA